TCTCTTCAGTGCCGTCATAATTTAACGTTCTTTAGATTTCATACCCAAATTTAATCTGAAAAAGAGGAAGCTTTGAATTTCTACATTTGATCTGAAAGAGAGGTACTCTAAAGATTTCCAAGCACAATGCACAAATTCTTTAAAATACTCTCAGAAGGAAAATGTGCCATGCTTGGATATTTCTGTGTGGTATAAGCGTACTGATCAAAAGCAATTGAAACAGGAGAAGAGTATTCTCTGTAAATAATTTATTAAATCTTATGGTTCAAAAATGTTGATATTCACTATTTAGACAAGTATTTACATACTTTATTTTTTACAACAGCATTTATCTAACTTGTTCTTCTGGTGGAGTTTGAAACTGCATTACAGTATTTTCATAATATAAGAGATTTTTTTTTTTTATACAGAGCAGAAGTTGTATAGTTGTTACATAATTCATCTGGAAAAGGAAACTAGTTTATATGTTTTCTCTCTCTCTGAATATATCTATGGATGTATATATGATGTATATGTGTACGTGTGTGTGTGTAACACACTTGCAGTGGGTTGATGGAACTAAGCATTAATGTTCTTCCTGAACAAAAAGCTACTCTTAGAAGCCAATTTGGCATTTTTTTTCTTATAGTTTGTTTTAAATATGATATGCTATAGTGATTTGATTCAGACAACACAAAATAATATCATAGGCTTCAAAAATCATGTTGCTATGCTTTAATCAGAGAAGCCACAGTGTATGAATTCAATCCCAAAACTGAATTGGCTAGGCTAAAATGAAGAGAGAGAAAAAATGAACCAGGATAGGAACCTCTTCTGAGAATGAAACTCTATTCAAGTTAGCAAGATTCCCCAACTCACTATGTACCATTTAAAGGAGGAAGTTGGTAATACAAAGGCAGTGCTAAAGACGAAGGTGGGAAAATATGCTTTCAACAATCGCATTGTATACATCTACAATTTGACTAATCCAATATAGTTCAAATGTTAAATATTTCATGAGGTACAACACAGTTAATAAGTAAATCCAAAATATAACATTACATATTTAAGGCTGGAAAATATAGCTTACTTGTTCAAATACCATTGTAATAATATATAATTTGACACAATCATGAATTTTGTGTTAGATTTTCATAAAGCTAAAACATCTTATTAGTAATAGGATTGTGTATTTGGGTTTTAATAAACATTTCACAGTTTATGTATAAAAATGAGTGAATGAACTTTTTCTTCATATAAAGGAACAGGAAATCCCAATCTTAAAACCTCAATATTAGCTTACCATAACTTCAATTAATTATGGCTTTTTATACTTATTAAAATTCCAGCATCAACTTTTAGAAATTATTTTAGGAAAATGATATTTTTAGTAGTCTTTCCACAGGACATTTAATAGTTTTGAATTTATAGGTACAGTAGTGGCCAAAATTGTGGAAACCTTTTGGGAAAAATGTATTTTCTAAAACTAGCTAGTAACACCACTTTTTTTTGGGAATAGTACCATAATGGAAATGGAAAGATAATTTTATCAAGAATGTAATACATCTTTTGGACCCCCATGATAATCTGAAATTAAGAAATGAGTTGGAGTTGCAGGGAAGACAACTGGATTGGTGGGCTTATGCCCAAATTTGCTCGAAATTTAAAAAAGATAGGGAACAAGATGGTATTAATTTGAATCAGCATGATCTGGACAATATCATTCTAGGAAAAGAGGACAAAATGTTATCAAGGATATATAAACTTTTAATAGACTATTGGATAGGGGATGAAATAGTTAAAGACTCTATGATTGCCTGGGGGAGAAATATTGGCTATCCAATTGATATGACAAAATGGGAAGAAATCTGGCTTAAACATATGAAATTCCTGTGGGCAACATCATACAAAGAAAATGTGTACAAGATGCTGTACAGATGGCACCTTCCACCTGCTCATCTTTCTAAAATGTATTCAAATCTTTCACCAAACTGTTGGAAGTGTGGGGAGATTGGCACCTATTTCCACATGTGGTGGACCTGCTCCAGGACGACTGAATTCTGGAAAATTATACAGGCATGGATCATGGAAATCACAGGTTATAACCTAATTCTGAAACCAGAGTACTATCTACTGAACATCAGACCAGGCAACATAGGCACAAATATATGGTGTCTGTGTGTATTTATCACCACGTCAGCAAGAATATGTTTCGCCCAACATTGGAAGGGGAAAGACCTGCTGGCTGAAGATTTGATTTTGGAGAAAATTTTGGATTATGCGGAAGCCGACAGACTAACTAAAGCATTGAGAGATCAAAAGGACTCCATATATTTCCAATGTTGGGACAAATGGTACGTTTGGTTGAACAACAGACGCCCAAAAAGTCAAGTATAACCAGGATTATGTTTAATATATGTTAAATCTGACTGAAGCCTACATACTGTAGAAAGTGTAAATATCATGTAAAGTTCCTGTCGCGATCATTTGTTTGACTATTTCTTTTTTTTGATGTATTGTTTTAAATAAATAAATAATAATAATAATAATAATAATAATAATAATAATAATAAAAGAATGTAATGCAATAACTTTTATGAAGTATTTGCTTTTAGAATAGCAGTTACAGTATAAAGAAGAAAAGTGAAACACGTAGAAAAAACGAGATATATAAAAATTATCATGTCAGTTAATTTATTTTATTATTTATTTTATTTTGTCGCATTTCTATGCCGCCCAACTCCCAAGGGACTCTGGGCAGCTTACAACAAAGAATAAAACAATGCGAACAATCCCTTAAAAAATGTTAAAAAGAAAAAAAATTAAAACATTAAAAACTTTAAAAACATTAAAACACATGCATTCCAATTCGTGGCCGGGTCTCGCAAGATCATTATAATGAGATCAACGGCCCCAGGCCTGCCAGAAGAGCCAGGTCTTCACCGCTTTGCGGAAGGCCAATAGGGTGGGGGCGGTCCGGACCTCAGGAGGTAATTGGTTCCAGAGAGCTGGGGCAGCCACAGAGAAGGCCCTCCCCCATGGCCCCGCTAATTAATACTTAGTTGGGTAACCTTTAGCATGAATTACGGCCTTACAACATCTTCCCATGGAGTGAACCAAGTCTTTTAGTTCTGTAGCTGTTATAATATGATACCAAGATTGAATGATTGCTTCTATTAACTGGGTTTTATTGCTGGGTCGCTTCTGACTAATAGGTTTCTTTAGTTAACTCCATAGATTTTCAATTGGGTTAAGTTTGGGCTATTCCCAGGCCATTCCAGCAGTGGAATATGATTATCTTGAAACTCCCCCAAGAAGTGGTGTTATTAGCCATCAAACCTCAAAAATACACTTTTCCCAAAAGGTTTCCACAATTTTGGCCGCTATTCAGTGGTGGGTTCCTCCCAGTTAGGCCCAATTCTCCCGAGCTGGTAGCGGTGATGATATGATGTCATTGAACCGATTCTGCCTCCCCGTACCTCCCACCCCCCCATCCCAGTTATTCTTACCTTTTATTTGCCCCACCCCCAATCTATTGCTGCCTCCTGAGTCCCAGCTGATGGCTAGAGGGGAAAAAAACTGTTTAAACTCTTGCCAGGGGGCTTCAAAGGGCCACCCTACAGCTGATCAATGTTAAAACAAATGAGTAGACTAGAACCTGCAAAAATAAATGGGTAGACCAGTGCCTGCAAAAATGCATGAGTAGATCAGTGCCTGCAAAAATACATGAGTAGATCAGTGCCTGCAAAAATACATAAGTAGATCAGTGCCTACAAAAATAAATGGGTAGACCAGTGCCTGCAAAAAATAAATGGGTAGATCAGTACAGCTCTGCAAGCAGTTAAAAGCCTGGTAGACCAGTACCTCTGCTAAATCCTAAATAATTGTCACATGACCATTAAGCCACGCCCACAGAACCGGTAGTAAAAAATTTTAGAACCCACCCCTTCCGCTATTGTATATATTTTGATTAAAAAAAAAAACTATTACAATTCTATACATAAACACCACAATAAACATACAAAATCATGAACCTGTAAATATAAAACTAAACTTCTAACTTAAAAAACATATAGTCCATTTACGCCGTACACTTTCTTCATGGACCCAGTAACCATTTCTTATTCTTTTATACCATTGTAATTATTTTTTTTGTTATCTCCACTTATTTAATCTATAAAACCCTTTATCATCAAGCTGTTTTTCTCTACTTTTATACTATAATCAATAAATGGACTCATTAAGACACTGTGCTTTTTACTCAATTCTTCTTCTATAAACCCTAATAAATACATCTTCCCTAAAATCCTAAATTAAACTGGAATAGCATGTGAACAGAGGTCAAGCATTCTTTATATACATAGGCACTACATTCCAAACATCAGGTGGTTGGATGAACAGATAAGCATTTGTCTGAAGCATTTCTTCAGCTTTTCTGCAACCTTACAGAGACGAGCACTTACTAGTTGTTTTATAGTTTTTAAAGCTCTAACCAATGGTGGGTTGCCCCCGGTTCGCACTGGTTCTATAGAACTGGTAGTAAAACTGGCGGGAGACTCCGCCCACCGACCCTGACGTCTTCTTCTTGCGCAGAAGAGTGCGCGCATGCGCGAAGCGAGTATGCATGGCCTGTTTGCGAACCGGTAGTAAAGGTAAGTAAAACCCACCCCTGGCTCTAACCATTATCTAGATGCTGTAAAGCTCAGCGGTTCAGTTGAAATTCCCTTGAATAGCCCCCACATTCCTTATTGTGTAGCAAATGTGATAGATTCTAGAATCTACTTGAGGCATACAGTATATTTGAGATAGGTAGGATTTTGTTGCTGTTGAATTTTTTATTTAAAATGGTCTCACTGAGTATTTAATTTCTATCCACTCTTGTTCTCAGTACAGAATGGCCTAATCTTGAGAAAGAGAAATTGAGCCTGGTGTTCTGAGTTTCCATCTCAACCATTGATTGGCTTAGATCTAAGAGAAAATGTTCAAATCAAACATGAGGTACTGATTTTCAATCAACAAAGGGATGTGAAGGACTTTTTATTCTCACAAACTGACAAATATGATAGTGTTATTAGTTCCTGGGCAACAATAAACACATTGCCCTCCGTGTTATTGGTATTAGAAGTAGTTCTCACACAGTCAGTAAAGAATTCTGTCCCTACAAAACCCTACAAAAATAAGAGCACATAGAAATTGGCCACCCCAGACAAAACAGGAGTCTATTACATAAGGCAAGAATTAAAAAAAGGTGCAAAAGTATTTGAATGTCACTTCTATGTTCTGTGTAGCCCTCTCTAGAATTGTTGGCCCATGGTTTCCTAACTTTCTTCACTATTTATTAGGCATCTTGAATTCCTGTGAGTTCATTTGTTTAGCTCTGCTGGGTAAACGGGGAGGGGGGATTCTTGTAACATTGCAACAGAGTTAATGTATCCTTTGAAAAAAAAATAGCAATAGCTGACCACATCCTATTTCAATGTTCATTTTATACAGAGTATTGAAATGATTTAATTCAATTGACTTCATGCAAATGATTTAATACCATTGCTGAAAATGTATTGCTACATATCCAAGTAAGTCAGAGACTGTATGCATAAAGTAAATGATCAAATTTTATATGTAGGAATGGAGTCAGATACTGAACTAATCTACTTAACTAAAGATAACATTACATCAAAAACATTTGTGCCTCTTTGGTGCACATAACTTCTCACTTTGACAATAAAATTAGTTAATAATAATGTTTAAATCAATTATCCAGCTATAATCTGCACAAGAGCCCTGTATGCTAAATCACACAAGGTGGTGCCTTCCAGAAAAGGAAATATAGCCATATTAGCCAGAAATTTTGGGACTTGTAATGCAAACACATCTAAAGCATACCACATTGGGAAAGCTGCATTGTTACACAAAAAGAAGTTTCTACTATATGTTTTAATACTAAATCTAACAACATCAGAAATAAATATATTGGAAAAATAGATAAAATTGTGAAATACCATTAGTTATTTTAACATCATCTCAAAAATGTTTGCAATATACAGAACCTACATCTGAAACAAATATATTATGACAACATATGCATATATATTAGATAATAATATCTCTCTCTATATATCTTATCAATATACTGTATACTTAGTTTAGATTCAGGGATATAACTATAATAGATATAATAGGAATGCCTATGTTCAAAAATACAGTTTTCTAATTTTACTGCTCACAAAAGATAGAATTAAACTTGTGCCTGGTATTCTCCAGGAATAAGAATTTTATCTACAAATGGAATGGCATACAAATAAGAACTCCAGCAAATCAAAGACATTTTACTTGATGACTTGATTAATGAATTGATTACATCTGCATAACTTTTGCATATGACTTGCACTCTAATACTATAGGGTGAGGTTGTCCAAGTGTGAAAAGACTGATTAACTTTGTTAGTGTCGTAAGCTTGAAGCAGCCCTTTGAAGCTACTTCACAAAGGAACACGACCCACTTATAAAGAGTGGATTTAGGCCATCACATAGCTTCACTTTGAGTTGCATCTCAAATCCACCATGGTCCATTTATTAGCTGGAAAGATTATTATTCAAGCCTCTTTCTGGTACTGGGCATATAGGAAATCTGTGACAAAAAAAATCTTACCTCAAGGGAAAGTGTGATTACCTGGCCTGGCCTGGCCTATTATGTGTATTTATTCAAAAATAAGTCTTCTTGGGTTCAGTAGGATTGTCTCAAAGGTATAGCAGCTATCCCCAATCAAACGCTCACCAAGTGTATTATAACTGAAATTTCCAGAATTTCCAGTCAGAAGGCTAAAGACAATCCTAACTCATCTGATGTGTATGATTCTGACCTCAGACCTACATATTTTTATGTAATACTACGTTTCATGAAAAAAGTCCAAAGCCTAAAGCTAAACAGCTTTTAAAAGAAATCTCATCTGTTTCAGACAGTTTAAACTTGTGACATAGTTTGCACTGAAGCAGAAGCGTCATCATTCCTTCTTACTACCGGCATTTCTCCTTTACATATTCTTATGTAAGGGGGAAGATGGATTACTACTTTAGGATAGTGCCTACCACTCATGAGTTGATAAGTAATCACTTTACAAGTAATTAATAATCTCCTTTTCATCCCACACCTCATCAGCTCAATTGACTAATCAACAAAACATTGTAACTTTAGGAAAAAGAGAATTATGCAGAAGGAAAAATGGAAAATTATGTTAATTTGGATGCAACAATGCTATATGATTGTGAAACTATTATGCAAGATAATAACATGCAGATGTGGAATATATTTGTCCATAATGCCTTGCTTTTCATGGGAATGTACAATCTGATGGGCTTTGCTATATATATAGTCTATCACTTATATTTTAAAAGGAAGATTACAACTGCAAAAGGGCTACAAGCCCAGGATAGTCTTCATTCTTGATGGGGCCCATCTTACACTGTTCTGGCAAATTCTCATTTAAGTTTCATTGTAAAGAATACAGAATTGGGCCACACACACACACATACATAATGATTGTGTATTCTTGAATTTTGTTAACAAGTTGTCATCATGAGTACCTTACCATACAAAAGAAGACTCAAATAAACCTTTCATCCTAGGTACAATTCTGAGAAAAATCACAGAAAGAGTTGATTATGCTGCTGACTTCCCAAACTGTTCTTATTGTAATTTTGCACAGTTTGCTGGTGAACACAGTTGCTCTTGCTCTTTATTGTAAAGTTGGAATACAAAGCACAGCTTTGCTATTAAGTTGTTACATTCTTGGTTTAGAAAGTCTTTCTTGATAGCCATCTATAATTAAACAACAAAAGTATATAAACCGTCAAAAGCATAAATGGACTGACATTCTCAATTGCTTTAATTTATCATTATTATTTTTTAAATGCATGTATGGGCTTACCTTACAAAACTTCAGGCAGCACTGCAGTAATAATTAAAGCAATTCTTTCTTTGTATTAATTTTAATATATCATATAGTTTGGCATAGTGATTAAGGCATCAGCCTAGAAACTAGCAGTTCTAGTTCCAGGTTAGGCATAAAAGCCAGTTGGCTGATTTTGAGCCAATCACTCTCTTTCAGACCAATTTACCTAATAGGGTTGTGGTGAAAATAGGAGAAGGAAGAAATATTAGGTTTATTTGCTGCCTTGAGTTGTTTACAAAAATAATAAAGATGGAATAAAAATGGGCATTACACATAATTGAAAATTGTGGTTTAATTTCTAAAAGCCCTTATAATTATAGTTGAGATTGGGAATCTAAAAACAAAATCGATATGCATAAAAATTAGCAATATCAGCTTAATTAATATTAGAAACGATTTAAAAGGTTTTTTAAAGAAATATAATGCCTGGTTTTATGTAATCTTATGCATTTATGTTTTGTTTCAATCAAGATTTCTTGAATTAAACTATACCGTCCTTATCTATATACTAGGTGAGAAATAATGCCTTATTAATTACAATAATTGATTATAAAATCATGCTAAAACATTAGGGTTAACACAGTGCATGGAATCAGCTACTGCCTATTTTCAGTTGATGCTTATTTTTTTAGACCGCATAGGCAGCTAATACAAGCCTTCCTATCAAGATGGACATTATGAAATCATTGAACAAATAACATGAATTATTAGGCCAATTATTATGCCAATTATAATCATGCCAATTATAAGTGGCATGAGCTGCATCACTGTATGGACACAAATAATACAATTTGTATCATTTTCACAATAATGTCATAATACATATGATATTATTTGCCCCACTCCCCCTTACAACAAGGAGGGAATGGTTTTTGCGTGCACGTGTCACTTGTGCAAATGGAGCTTCCTATGCTCACCCGCCACTTGTCCGGACTGGTTCCCAATGGGCTGTGGGCCGGGGTTTGGACACCCCTGTTATATACAGCAGAATAAACAATTAAATCAGAAACAGATATTTTAGTCCCTGAATTATTTATTATTTAGGATGTTGTGAAATGGGGGAATATATAAGTCTGTGAGGCAGATCAACATCTGGTAATTCAATTAAAGAAAGATTTAGTTGAAAATAAGAAAGACAAACACTCACCTATGACATATGATTCTGCTGTGCATTTTGCTGCTGCTGCTGTTGCTGCTGAATTAACAACTGTTGCTGTTGCCTACGCCGTGCTGTCCTCAGTTTTTCAAAGCGAGCTTCCATCTCATCTAAAACTTTGGGAGTGTAACGCACCACCAGCTTCACACTGTCCTTAGCAGCCTTCAGAAGTTCCACTGCTTTCTCATGATGTTCTCCTTCCACACTCTGGTTGTGGAATGTTTAAAAATAGCAAAAAGCAAGAGGCTTTCAGCTTTAGAACTATGAGTAAGAAAGAAAAAAACTATACCATGGCTGAACTTGGTCCCACTAGGTCTCCCCAATTATAGCTTTGGAGTCTGTAGTTAGGCCTGTCCCCGTCTAACATTTTAGATCCTAAGGAAGTAGCTACTCTAAAGTGTATCCTTGTTACTCTCCTTCTAACCACTGGTGGTGCAGTGGTTAGAATGCAGTACTGCAGGTTAATTCTGCTAACTGCTGGCCGGCAGCAGTTTGGCAGTTCGAGTCTTACTGGTTCAAGGTTAACTCAGCCTTCCATCCTTCCGAGGTGGGTAAAATGAGGACCCAGATTGTTGGGGGCAATATGCTGACACTGAAAATTGTTTAGAGAGGGCTATAAAGCACTGTAATGTGGTATATAAATCTAAGTGCTACTGCTATTGCTAGTGCTTTTCCAGTGGGAAAGGAAAAAGAAAGGCAAAATCAACTGAGCTGAAACTGCATCATCAAAATCCTCCAAGTAGAAAAAATGTGTGATATATTTACAGTGGGGCAAAAAAGTATTTAGTCAGCTACCAATTGTGCAAGTTCTCCCAGTTAAAAAAAAGAGAGAGGCCTGTAATTGTCATCATAGGTAGACCTCAACTATGAGAGACAAAATGAGAAAACAAATCCAGACAATCACATTGTCTGATTTGGAAAGAATTTATTTGCAAATTATGGTGGGAAATAAGTATTTGGTCAATATCAAAAGTTCATCTCAATACTTTGTTATATATCCTTTGTTGGCAATGACAGAGGTCAAACATTTCCTGTAAGTCTTCACAAGGTTGGCACACACTATTGTTGGTATGTTGGCCCGTTCCTCCATGCAGATCTCCTCTAGAGCAGTGATGTTTTGGGGCTGTTGCTGGGCAACACGGACTTTCAACTCCCTCCAAAGGTTTTCTATGGGGTTGAGATCTGGAGACTGGCTAGGCCACTCCAGGACCTTGAAATGCTTCTTACAAAGCCATTCCTTCGTTGCCCAGGTGATATGTTTGGGATCATTGTCATGCTGAAAGACCCAGCCACGTTTCATCTTCAATGCCCTTGCTGATGGAAGGAGGTTTGCACTCAAAATCTCACGATACATGGCCCCATTCATTCCTTCCTGTACACGGATCAGTCGTCCTGGTCCCTTTGCAGAGAAACAGCCCCAAAACATGATGTTGCCACCCCCATGCTTCACAGTAGGTATGGTGTTCTTTGGATGCAACTCAGCATTCTCTCTCCTCCAAACACCACGAGTTGTGTTTCTACCAAACAGTTCTACTTTGGTTTCATCTGACCATATGACATTCTCCCAATCCTCTTCTGGATCATCCAAATGCTCTCTAGCAAACTTCAGAAGGGCCCAGACATGTACTAGCTTAAGCAGGGAGACACGTCTGGCACTGCAGGATCTGAGTCCCTGGCGGAGTAGTGTGTTACTGATGGTAGCCTTTGTTACGTTGGTCCCAGCTCTCTGCAGGTCATTCACTAGGTCCCCCCGTGTGGTTCTGGGATTTTTGCTCACCATTCTTGTGATCATTTTGACCCCATGGGGTGAGATCTTGCGTGGAACCCCAGATCAAGGGAGATTATCAGTGGTCTTGTATGTCTTCCATTTCTAATTATTGCTCCCACAGTTGGTTTCTTCACACCAAGCTGCTTGCCTATTGCAGATTCAGTCTTCCCAGCTTGGTGCAATTTTGTTTCTGGTGTCCTTCGACAGCTCTTTGGTCTTCACCATAGTGGAGTTTGGAGTGTGACTGTTTGAGGTTGTGGATAGGTGTCTTTTATACTGATAACAAGTTCAAACAGATGCCATTAATACAGGTAATGAGTGGAGGACAGAGGAGCCTCTTAAAGAAGAAGTTACAGGTCTGTGAGAGCCAGAAATCTTGCTTGTTTGTAGGTGACCAAATACTTATTTTCCACCATAATTTGCAAATAAATTCTTTCCAAATCAGACAATGTGATTGTCTAGATTTGTTTTCTCATTTTGTCTCTCATAGTTGAGGTCTACCTATGATGACAATTACAGGCCTCTCTCATCTTTTTAAGTGGGAGAACTTGCACAATTGGTGGCTGACTAAATACTTTTTTTACCCCACTGTATATGCAGGATCCAATCTGAACTGGTCACCAGGACCAGAGATTTTGTCTTCTGAGCTTTTGGACTTGTCCTGGAGCCCATCTTCAGGAAACATCTCCCTAGCAGAGTGTATGCTAGGTTGTTCTGTGTGTGGTATTTATATGGTACTTGTTGTGTGTGGCTTTTTAGATATTACTTGGGGTATTGACCGCTGGCTATTACGTTGTTGGCTTTTGTTTGCTTGTGCTGTCAATCCCTGACCTCCCAAGTATTGACTGGATCCTGCAACATTATCCTAGGACATGTATATTCACCGTCATTCATGATATATTTATTTACCCTACTTATATGGCCACCTCTCTAGCCAATAAAATCTAAGTAACAAACAAAATAATAACAAAGAATTTCATTACAGCAAAAAGTCAGCTAAAACTGCATTGAAGTTCAGTAAAACCCCAACCATTAAACATTATTACTACTACTTCTACATTTCTGTTGGAAGCACCTACTAAGGCACTTCCAGGTTGAAAGGATTAGCCGGTGACATCACTGTTGCCACGGGGATGCCCGAGGAGGCTCCTTTCATGTCCCTGTTATTTTCCCTCCAACATGGAATCAACTCCCCCTGGGGTTCCGGTTGGCCCCTGACCTTTGCACCTTCTGCCGCGAATTAAAAACATGGCTGTTCAAATTGCCCAGCCTGGACTGATGGGGTTTGGATTATTTTAATATGTTTAACATGTGTTTAATATGTATTTTAACATGTTTTATTTGGTTTGATTTTAATTGTTGTGAGCCGCCCTGAGTCCTATGGAGATAGGGCAGCATACAAATCAAATAAATAAATTAATAAATTAATAATAATAATAATAATAATAATAATAATAATAATGGTACTGATTTATCTACTTGCATTTGCATGCTTTCGAACTGCTAGGTGGATAGGGGCTAAGGCAAACTGAGGGGGATTCATTCCGTTATGTGGCTTATTCCCAGGTTTCAAACTGCAGAACTGTCAACCTCTTAGTGGTCTTTTGAGCACTAAGCCCCCGTAACCCCAATTAAACAACACACACTCCTGCCAAAGCTCCCCCATTAACAACCTAACTCCAATGCTTGGGGAGGAGCCAGGCTTTCATAACTTTCCAAAAGGCTGGCAGAGTCGGGGTTGTCCATATTTCAGAGGGGACAGTATTCCATAGGACAAGTCATAGAAAAGAAGGTGCAAAATGACAGTGCTTTGCAGTGGCACTGAGAACATGCTCACTCTGGGATAGCATAAATCACTAGGAAGAGATGGTCCGAGAAGTAGCGGAGTGCAATGTTATGTAAAGCTTTAAAGGTGGCAACCAGCATCTAGCACTGCATCTTTGAGCATCATCTCGGTTTATCTTTTGGAATGAAAATGGTGTGAAGGCAGTTCAGTTGTCAATTTGTGATATGTAACTTCAAAATGTTTGAAGCATTGGTATAGGAATATAGATACAAAAGCTCCATGTATGTAAATAAATCAAAATGTGCAGCTGAAGTTTTGAGCTTGAAGCTGAAGCATCAAGCATTTATATCGTCAGAGACTTGTCATGACTTAAAGTCTTTAAGTTTGATGCTTCCTATCTCTCAACATCAATGAACCGAGCCTGGATGAGGGTTTGAGTCTCAATTCAAATGGTTTATTTGAATTCCAGTACTTGCAAAATCTTTGTGCACAGACTTTGCTTGTTCAGGATCAATGCATTATTGTGAAAAAGGGTAAGGGATGGAGGCATTTAATATTAGTAACAGGGCCAATAGCCATGCTTCACTTTCTGTATGCAAAACATTCTTCTTATATACAATGGATAAAGAAGATTACAGTCTCTGAATTTTGCTATGATACCTTCTGTATTGGAAATAAAAACTCATTTCAACTAAACCATAAATAAAACCATATATTAATATATGCTAGTTGGGCAATTGCAGGATGGAACCGCCCATGGATTTCTTGTTGAATAATAGCCACTTGCAAACTAAGATGTCACGAGGAGACTAAAAAATTCTCCAAAGGTTTCTGAATGTGGTTACTTTGAAACAACACATTTGTGTCCATGTATTCTTTTGTATGCACACTAGAACTACCAGATCTCGGTTGCAAAATTCTGGATATTACTTAGAAGACAGCAAAAATACTGCAGTAGTCATCCAGATTTTTTTTTCAGTCTGAAGCAGTTTAAATAAGCAGAATTAATAAAATCTGAATATGTTCACATACCACTCCATTAACAGAAAGCAGCTGGTCTCCCCGTTTGAGTCCTCCATGCTTCTCAGCTACTCCTCCAGGAATTATGCGAGAAATATAAATAGGAGAATTTTGTTCTTTTCCTCCCATTACGTTAAAGCCAAGGCCTTCATCCGTCTTTGGCAGTTCTACCACTCGGGGATGAGAATGCCCTTCACTAGCTGCAAATGCAGCAACTGTTGCCTGGGGGGTGGAAAATGCAATTTTTATACATATTATGAACACGGTTAGGAGCACTTCTGCTCATTTGTTTCAAATATGTATTCATAAGAACGATGCTTTAAAATTTGTTTCTTTAATTGCTTCATTTAAAAAAAAACTAATAAAATGTAATACTGCTGTACCCAAGAGAGCTGCGTAAGTTATATCCCAGTGGTGTTATTCTGACGATCGGAATGCTTAAATCTCAAGGTCTCCATTCCATGTACAGTATGCTCAGGTGGAACTCCTACATATGTGGTTATTTGCAATTATGTCAATGCAATTCATATCACACAATGGCTCTATGTTCTATATGTACAAGAATTTTTTGAAAGGGAAACTCAGGGGTAACAGTTCTTATGGAAACGTATGACTAGTTTTTTTCCCCTAACTACTTGATTAAGGATTATTTTTTATATTATTCATGTTGTCTTGTATTCTTGACAATTCTGTATTCTGTACTCTACTGGTGTTGAACTGCACCAGTAGAGGCTAAACCAATTTCGTTGTATACATGATGTACAATGACAATAAAGGCTTTGAACTTGAACTTAAATATTAGATTATTTTTACCTGTAAGTAGCTTTTACAGAGAAATGGAAATAATTCTATGTTCTCTAGGAGGTGATCCCCAATTCAATCTAGACACTAATACTTGCAACATAAATTTCCTTTTCTGAAAAGGGAATGGTATGATTAGTATGTATATATGTACTCAAATCCTTATTGGCTATTTTGAACACATTTCCTTCCAATGTAAGCAGATTTCAAAAGATGCTTTTCTTCTTTCTGATTTTTTTTTTTTTTACTTTTTATTGAACACTTGGTTAAGCAGAATGATGAGAAGCAAATCAAAGCAATTATTAAGGCTGAAGAGGCATATGCATACTAGAGTCCTTTATATTGCAGTGGAACATGCAGCGATATTATAAAGTTTAATTATCTTTTAAAATATGAAAGCTTTGAACATATAGCCAATATAATGTTAAAGGTTTCTTAAATTCTAATAGTAGCTAAAAGGATCAGTAGAAGCTTAACCTAAATACGGGTTTTAATTTAATTTAACTTTAGGGAGAGGAGTACAATTTTTAAAAACAAATTTAAATTGTGAAAATAGCAACTTTTTATCAGAGTGATCTAAATATCTGAGCACTTATTTGACTTATTGAAACATAAAGCAGAATATACTCAATTAACTCTTCCATTGATTTAAACAGGAGAGAGCATGTATACTGAACTATATGAGACTAGGCAGTATGGGTGTAAAGATAGGCTCTGATCCAATTTGACTAATTAATTGAATTTGATTTGATGATTTGAAAGTCAAATTGGTTCAGTTCAAATTTCTGTATTGAGCTGAATATGTTTTCAGAAAAAAATTGATCATTTTTTTATGATTTATGAACATCAAATTTTATGATTTAGTTCAAATCATGAACTCAGTTCAGAAAGTTCATTTGATTCTGAGAATTGATAAAGTTGCCTTCAAATCAAATGTGCATATAATCCCACTTAATAGTGGTTAATTTCAGCTGCATCATTTCCATGAGTCTTAAATCTCCTAGAGTAAAAGGATAGCTAAATTTCATTAGGATCCCATTTAATGAATGTACACTCTTAGTTACATATACAGTATATATTATCATGCAAAATTTGTCATCATGCATGCCAGACATAAATGCATAAGGAAAATGCAATGCAGACAGCCCAGAAATAACCAGGAAATACTGTAATATTGAAACATTGCTGTACAATCCTCCTGTTCCATATGAATAAGAAATGAGAATGGCAGACCTCCTTGAGAGTTTTAAGTACACCATATGATGACAATTTTTAACTTCACTATATTATATGAAGTTAAGCAATCTAAAAACATCTTTCTAGACTCAAGTAAATTAAAACTTACATATCTGTAGCATTTATATTAAGTCAAACTCAATTCCCTCTAGAATAAAAGTAATCTACCCAATAAGCAAATGAAAGAACATTACTTAAATTATTTTAATTACCTTCAATATATTTAATGTTAAATATACTATATGGCTTCTGTAACGTTCCTCCATAGCTTATCTCAATTTAAAATTAATATAATTCTGTTGCTGGCTGTAGTGTGAAAAGAAGAGTAACATTTATTATTCTGGCTTGCAAATAATGGTTGTTCTCTAGTAGTATGTATTTTATACTCCCCCAGTCCCTCACACAGAGAGCCTATTTGAAATTCATTCAAGTTTTATCAATAGTAAACAAGGGAATTGTTTCCTTGAAGAAATACCTATTTTGTTACTAATTTTTATTTCTGTACAATGCAAACTAGATTTCAGATTTATTTCATAGAATAGTATTTCTTTTGATGCAGAGAGCTTACACTCATTTATAAGGACCTTTACAGCATTTTAACCTAAGATCAGATTTTTCAGGAGTTTCTGCTGCTATTCTGTTGAGGAAATACATGTTAAGCACTTCTGAAACTGGCAGCCGTATATTTTTGGCCATACTATATAAGTAGAATCTATTAGAGAAATTAGTCATAAGTGCTAATGGTCAGTATTTAATTGCACGTAAGTGGAAGCTTTGATTGGAAAGTGACTCCAATCCACTCCATTCCCTCACCCATCCCCAATAAGCCTCTTGGCCACATACAGCATTCTCTTTTCTTAAAACTACAGGAGTAGCACAAATGTTGAACTTGCCGGTATGATTGTTACCTGGGAAGTAGCACACTGGTTCTAGACTCTGGGCTGCCACTGATGTCTAAATGTTCTTATAGTGTACACACGAAAACCTGAAACATACACGCGCACAGTCAATTACTGGGCCATGTGGAGAATAGACCTCCTTAAACTACAAGTGTCTTACCTTGGCGGTAGCCCTGGCACGGAATTCGGGGCAGCCACTAACATTTATGGTTTCATGCATGTATTGATATACCTGAAGGTACACAAAGAGAATGATGAAAAGAAAATTAATAATCTGTGCAATCTCCACAAGTCAAAACATTTTAATTCTTCTTTTACCAATCTTTAATGCCCTTGAAGTTTCTCACTGCACTGTACCGTACAACACACCTACCTCCAAGGACCTTTCTGTATCTTTTGCTAATAATTTATTTATTTACCAGATTTCTACACTGTCTATGTCACCTAAGCCTGGGCGATATTTCTCCTGTACTAGATGTCTACCCTTTAGATATGGAAGAATTTCAATTTTCTAAATATTCAAACATTATTTAACTTAGGGAGGAAATACCTTCAAAATCCAATTCCACTGCAATTTTTAATTGCTGTGTGAAATGTACCCAATGAAACCCATTTGGTTCTGTCTTTCATTTTCCTTCATTTCTTATGCCATTCTGGAAACAATCATTTTAGCAACTGGTAAATGTTTGGCTTAGAGTCTCTTATTTTGCAAGGTTCATTAAATTGAAAGGTTAATTAGAGAGCAATTTATGTGGCATCATCCTTTGCTTCCAGGGTTGTCCAGTCCAAATCCATATATGAAAGGGAGAACAAAGCCCATGGACAGTATAAGATAATAAAATATAATCATCTTTATTAAATTTACATATCATCTGACTCCCAGTCAGTAGATCAACAGGCCTGATTTTTCTCATATTTTGATAATAAATATTATTTCCAGTATTTATCTGTATTGTATAAAACCATGGTTGCAAATTTTATGCCAAAAGTTGTCCTCTTTTTTGAGGCTATATTTTTCTGTTTTGGAGATATACAATTACTCACTCATTTTGGAGGCTCATATTTTGATTTATCTGCCAATCTCAGTAAGGGAATAGCTTTTTTTTTCCCAAGACATTTATTTTCTGAATACAGCAGTGGCATTGGATAGAAAGCAAGTCAAGTAAAACACAGACATTTGAAAATACTTCAAATATATCAAAGGCATATAAATTGTCATTATCAGTGCCACAGGGAATACACAGAATAAACTGTCACAGATTATTTTTAATGCATGCACTATCTGGATGAAAATTTCCCCCATACAGAAAAATTACAAATTCCTATGGCCCAACAGTAACAATAAATCTGTGACTCCATAATGGAACAGTATTGTTTCAGTGCAGGATAATAAAACAGTGCACAAATTATAACCTTATGGAACATAATTGGCTTTTGATAGAGCCCTAAAATTCACCAGCCAGAGAAATGTGTAAAAAGGTGGCCCCAAAATGTTGAATCCAAACTGAAGATTCAGTATCAAGTTTTCAATAAGAAGATATCATACAAATCTTTTCGCAAATGAATCCCTAAATATTTCTTCCTTAAAATGTCCTTCATTTCCAAATATAATTTAGAGGGAAAAAACAAGAGGTGTTTTTGTTACTGCTAAGGTGTGAGATTTACCACTAGATTTATTCAAATCTAGTGTCTGCATATTTTTTGCCGTTATGTGACAAAACAAAAGATCATGATGTTTCTGTTTCTATAAGCTGAATTAATGCATACTGCAAACTATCATTTTGTAGCTGTAATCAAATGTTAAATAATTAATTCAGTCTTAGTAATTTCTGGTTTAATTTAATGTACCATAACTTAGTCATATGATGCATTATGATTGTATATCTTCATTAACTTGAATGTGTGCTTCAGGTAAAACAACATGCTGGTGTTCAGATAATTAGGAAGCCATCAACTAATTTTCAAAACATTTCAAAGTCTGCTTTATTATTCCTCAGTGAAATAGAACAGTAGGTTTGTTTTAGTCCTATAAGAGAAAATGAGCCAGAGATTTCATACAGCAAACAGTGAGGACTGATATGGCAGAAACTTTTCTTGTCTCACCTCCCTATGCTATATTCTATATGCTATAAAGGTAATCCTCAATTTACAAGAGTCCATTTAGTGCAGGGGGATTCAAAAATTTTAGCAACCGGTTCTCTGCCTGGTTGCTGGGTGGGCGTGGCCATGGTGGGCATGGCCTACTTGGCCACCTGCACCATGGCAGGGGGCATTTTTGCCCTCCCCAGGCTCCAGAGGCTTTTCTCGGGTCTCCGGGATGGCGAAAATGGCCTCCTGCAGGCTCCAGAGCCACTCTGGAGGCTGGAAATGGCCTTGTTTCTGGACTTCTGGGAGGCCCATTTTTCACCCTCCCCAGGCTCCGGAAGCTTTTCTTGAGCCTCAGGGAGGGCAAAAACGACCTTCCCTGGGTTCCAGAGGCTCTTCGGAGGCCAGAAATGGAGATGTTTCCGGACTTCAAGAACAATCATTTTTCACCCTCCCAGAGCCTCCATGTGGATCCTGTACTTACCTGGCATCCAAAATGGGCCACGTGGAGATTCCTAGGAGGAGTGGGGCAGGGTGAGCAGGGTCAGTCAGTCCTTGCAACTATCGGTTCAGTGAACCAGATGTAAAATTAGCATCCGGTTTTCCCAAACCAGTCTGAACTGGCTGAATCCCACCCCTGATTTAGTGACTGTTTGAAGATACAATGGCATTGAAAAAAGTGACTTTTGACCATTTTTCATACTTATGACCATTGCAGCATCCCCATGGACGTGTGATTTACATCCGGATGCTTGACAACTGGTTCATATTTATGACGGTTGCAGTTCCAAGGGTCATGTGATCCTCTTTTGCAATCTACTGACAAGCAAAGTCAATGGGGAAGCCAGATTCATTTAACAGCCATGTTACTAACTTAACAACTGCAATGGTTCACTTAACATATGCGACCCAAAAAAATGTAAAATGAAGCAAATCTCACTTAAAATGAAAAGCCACCATTTTATGCTTTGCTTCAAACAGCAAAATGTATTGAACCATCCTTAAATGTAGGCAAAGTGTCTATGGAGATTCTCGGTCATTCAAGTCTTGGTTGTCCCAAAGGTGTTTTTTCAAAAGGCAATTGGACTTTGTTTTCTTTGAAGATATTTTGTTGGAACTGTGTCTTTCAGTGTGAAATAACTACTGGGTTATCGAATTTGGGCTAAGAAAATATTCAATGTTGTGAGTGTCATGAAGTTCACTAATTAAACTATGCAATTAACCAAATTATCACATTTTAAGTCCAATGATTTACATCATGCTATTAGTGTGTTTTAAAGCATGCTGACTTTGGCCTATTGTTTTAATAAGCATATTAGGTATGCTGTCTTTAAATCTTGGAAGTTTCATGTTGCTCTTTATTAATTAATAGGATAAATAAATAGCCTTCGTCTGCATACCTATTCTTTTGTTAGTGAATTATATTAGAATGTTCAAAAGGTGAAGCAGATACCATAATGCATCAAGTTTTTTTTTTTTTTTTTACTTCAGAACCACTACTGTCCCGAGTATGAAAAAAATAGATATTTCTGAGTTGGATTCTGTGTTTTTTCTAACAGTTGTTATAATGAAGAGGGCAGGAAATAGAACTTGCTTTGAGGCATACAGGCAAGGATGCATTAAAGTAAGGAAGTGCATAATTATTAAAGCTGTGAACCCCAGGAAAATTAAAGTGATTAATCATAGGCACTTTAATAAACTAATGAAACATTACATAATATCTACAAAATAATGACATAATTTCAAAGACCATAAACTCCTTAGTTAATTTCTTAAAGGCTAATCTGCAGACTTTTGTGATATATATGGGTAAGATATGCTCAAAAAGGAATCTGGCACACCAATTATCATTTATTATTGATAATGATATAAAGTAATGATTTTAACAATGATTTTAAAGTATTGAGTATGAGACTTAAATGAAATATGTCCTATAAGAGCAACATAATAAATCAACATAATGAACAAAAAGAAAAGAATAAAGAACAAGAAAAAAATCTACAATAATATCTGTATCATTTTTCCCCCACTACTGGTTAGAAAAATGATAGTCCAATGAAGAACTTACACCTGGCTTGCTGAAGTTCTCCAATTCACTTCCTGATAACTCCAGCTAAAAAGACCACCCGTTTGGAACTCCCAAATAGCAGATATCTTCCAAAGATCTTAATAATAGATTTTATAATAGAAATGGTGCTTTATCTATTTGTGCAACTGTTAATGTTTCATGCATTTAAATATATTTGACCTCCAACCAAAGAAGGATTTATGAATAATAGAACCATCCATAGGCTCTTGATAGTCCACAGTTCAGCCAGAACATTGACAGTATCAACGTAGATGAAAAAATTTTAAGGGCATTGAACTATACAAACATATCTAATCCCTGGATCAAACCATTTTACCAAGTCCTTTGGTCCCTCAGATATTTTTTACCAGCCATCAGCTTTCATGGATAAATCATTCTCTATTATTTATCCATGAAAAATAAAGTATATAATTTCAAATCATCAACTTCCTTGAAACATATCAAATCCATATTAGCTGGGATAGGATCATCACATATAATTTAATCTCCTGTGCTGCTCCTTCTGTGGTATTAGGGTTCAACATATACTAACAGCATTTCTACAATGTCCCAATTACCCAAATGCAGCAGCGAATATGAATGTTAACATCTGATGGGACATCTGATTAGTAAGATGAAATTCCTATTTTAGGAACTCAACCTCCTTGCCATCCAGTCCTAGCCTCCTGATGCATGGACTAGCTCAATGAAGTCAGCTGCAGCAGATAAACCACCCTATTGTCTACCATCCAAACTACATAATACAAATCAAGATTAAGACTCTCCTCTAGGATTAAGATGGGACGTGGTGGCTTAGTGCCTGAGATGCTGATCTTGTCGATCAAAGGTTGGCAGTTCAAATCCCTAGTGCCGTGTATTGGGGTGAGCTCCCATTGTCCCAGCTTCTGCCAACCTAGCAGTTCGAAAGCACGTAAAAAATACAAGTAGAAAAATAGGGACCACCTTTGGTGGGAAGGTAACAGTGTTCCGTGCGCCTTTGGTGTTTAGTCATGCCAGCCACATGACCACCGAGATGTCTTCGGACAACACTGGCTCTTTGGGTTTGCAATGGAGATGAG